TATCTTCCATTTAGGTATGTTGTTATTCAACTTTTTATAGCGTTTTTAAGTTGCTTGTAACTCTTGCTACTTTTCGAAATTGTACTGAGCGCAAATTTTAATTGGATAAGTTTTATAGTATGCTTTGACGTCTTCGACTGATCTTTTAAAGGAAAGAAGCATTGATAGTACAAGGCTAACTTCTGTTTTTTGACTGAATACTTTTTATGCAGGCGTTTCAGCTGTAATTGTATGCACAAAAATTTTAGTTGTGTTTTTCGTTTTCCTCCTGCTTCGGAAAATTTCTTTTTTCGAGCTGTTGAATTGCCTCGTTGTGAAGAAGTCGCCCATATCATTAGTCATTCAAATGGTAATTGTTTAATTTTTATGTAATTTGTGTTTTGAAGGCTTGCTTTTTTAATTTACTATCTCGGTTTTGCAGCTTTATGTATCATTTTTTTTTTTGCTAAATGATCTTGTTTAATTAATGCGTTTTTCAATTTAACTACTGTTTTTTTGGTGATTTGAAGCAGAGTCTAGAAGTTGCGTAATTTTTTCTTTTCAGATCTGTGTAGCGCAAGTGTTAAGGGTGAAGATGTAAGTCAGCAATCAAGAATTGATCATTGTAATGTGGAAGCTTGTGAAATTTCGTCCCCATGTTCTTCTGAAGAAGCAAAGTATTGTTTTAGGAGTTTCATTTTCTTCATATGTTGCTCGGGTGTCTGAAAAATTGGAGCTTTTGATCATCTCTTTTTTAGTAGACAGTATTTTCAAAGACGTCTCGTTTCTTGTCATTTCTGCAATCACTCAAATTGGTTAATTATGTTATTTTAGCTTGGTGGCTTCGAACCAGAAGACTGAGCTGTGTTCTGTTGAGGAGAATAAGGAAGGTTCGTATTGCATGCATTACTTTTGAAGATTCTAGTTGAAGATGCATATATATATCTCGATAAACTTAATTTTCGCGGAGAAATGTATTTTGTTGAGAACTTTGTTGTTTAATAGTTCTGAAGGCAGCTTTTACGCTTTTTTTTAGTTCTCTTTTTTGTTTTAATCCTCGTTGTTGTTCACGAATTTTTTACCCACCTATTTTATCAAACTCTTCAGAGTCGTCGAAGAATGAGAAAAAACCGCCCTATTCTTATGCACAGCTGATTGTGCAAGCAATAATAAGTACTCCAGATCAACAAATCAAATTACCTGGCATATATAATTTTATCATGCAGAAATATCCATGGTATCAGTCTTGTGATAAAGGATGGCAGAACTCCATTCGCCATAATTTGTCAATGAATCAAGATTTTGTGAAGGTGAGTCATACATTGATTTTTCATTAAAACTGCATGGCTGTATTCAAGCCTATTTAAGCTACCATTTGAAGTTACAATTCTACAGAATTATTTTACTTGAATCTTCGTCAGTTGCATGACCTAAAAAGGCATTATTTTTCATTGTAGTCGGAAAATGACTTCGTTTTTTTTAGAAATTTATTTTGAAGTTTTTTTAGGACGATTTTTGTTGGAATATTTTTATCGTTTCTTGTTGCTTTAACTTTTCCAATTAAAGTTGAATCGCTACGGAAATTAATGTAACTATACTCTCACTAATGTTTATCGCTTAAGGATGCTTAATGTTTAGACAGCCCGTGCTGGTAAAGGTTCGTTTTGGAAGCTGGAACCATCTGCAGCTCAACAAAATATAGAAGCGGCATATGAAAAAAAGAAACCAAAAAGTATAAAAAATTCCAAGTAAGTGACTTTTTTAAGACTCCGATCTCAAGTAATTTTCACCGACCTTGTTCTATACCATCCTTAGTTAACTCGTTTTTTGCAACTCTTTTGTTAAGAATCGAACCGATTATTTGTATTAGACTCAAATGCTTTACAAGGCTCTCTAAGCGTTATGTTTTGTGATTCAGATGACTTTTTAGCTTAAGAGACCATAACATTAAGTTCTGAACAGAATGACGGATTTATTAGATACATCTATGTGGTTGTAATGCTGTTTAGCATATTTTTTCGTACGACGCTAAAAAGATTCTGTTGTGATTTAGAAATAAATTATTTAGATCTAACGTTGAAAAATTTTGTGGTTGGAGTGCGTTGGTATTTAGATTTCTACAAGCAAGTTTTTAAAATATGTTTCAAGAAAGTTACGGCTTGATATTACTCCAGTTTCTAGGCAGGGTTTTGTAAATTTTTGCGGGGACATTTTGCAATTTTCAGTTTTTTTTTAAAAGTTACAAACGGGGAAAGGCGTGACTGGTTTTTACTGGAGCGTAGTTTTTTGGGTTCTAGGTATTTTGATTGGTTGTTTTTGCAGAAAGGGATTTTTCGAATGATCTTCTAGACACTGAAGAAGATTTATGTGGTGAAAGCTTTGGAAAAATTTGCTTTTCTTGTTCTGAAGGGGAATAGTGTAATGTCTTAAAGCTTTCTAACCGACTTACTTATAGCGGCGTTTTGGCTTGTTTTCTTTAATTTTAAGCGTTTATGATTGTTTCGTTAGATTTGCTTATCAATTGCTTTTGTTTAGTTATTTTTTGGAGCAGTTTTTTCACATTTATCATTGCTTTTGGCAAAGCAATAGTGCATCGAAAACGTTACTACAGGTTGAACTAATTGTTTTGTTCCTACTTTTTGATGTGAAGAGGTTTATAACATTTTTTAAACAAAACATTCGGTTGATCCTGAAACTTTTGAGGGTTCAACATTTAACAACTTAGATTTTTCGCAAAATTTAAATTAATGATTTTGGTTGAGTTTATATAGTGGAGGCAAAAGAACAAATTTATTTTTTTTTATTTTTTCAATTCTACCTATCCACGTAAGTAATAAATTTATTGATGGTGTACTGTAGTCTGATAAGGAATCTTGGTATTAAATTATTTTGTCGTGGACCTCATTAAAGGTTGGATATTTGGCCTGGTATTCATCAGTATTTATTTTTCTTTATTGTTCGTTGTATTTCGTGAATGAGTTCTTTTTTAGTTATGCTTTATGCATCTCGCTTTCGGCGGAAGGGTCAGTTATTTTATTTATAGATTGATGAACTCGTGTGTTTCGGATTTGGAAGACTGCCTGCCGGAAGGTCGTGTTACACCTTCGTTTAGAAACGTGAATGCAAACGAAGAGGACTGTATAGGAACTGTGAACAAACAAGGTGATTTTTTACTTTTCAAAAGTAATTTAACGTTTTCTGATTTATTCGACTAGCCAAGTTTTATTCATTTACATCTGTTTTCTTTCTTTTTCTTTTTTTTTTGCTCTACCATTTTTTGTAGTCTGTCTGGTTGTGCATTATCTCTTTCCACTTTTCCTACACCGACATTTTTGATTTTCTAATTGTATTGAGAGGTGTGATTTCAAGTCTTTTATAAATTTCTATCAAATCGCTATGGAGCCTAAAATTTCTAGGATTTTGGTTATTTCAGAATAATTTTCCTTTACTTTTCAAAAAAATAAAGAAAATTCTAAAGCTGAGAGTCAATGAGGAATAAAAAGTTATCAAAGACACCATTACCATTTTTATTGGGATTCATTTGGAAGTGGAAGAAGTTCGTTTGGTTAATTTCGATTCGTTCATCATATACCGTTTTTGGGAAGAGTATCGGAGAATATTAATGAAAAAGAGCAAAAAAAGACCATCGTTCAGCGGATTCCTAATGAGTTGGCTTTGGAGAAAAAGACTCGACGGCGCCAGTGAAGATTATGCTTGCATGATGTAGCGTCTTTTCTTGTTTCACTTTTGATAAAGAACACTGGCAGTCATTTTCTTGCACTATTAGTGCTTCTTTATTTCCCCCCTCTGTTGGTTTTATCTTTTTGTCAGCTCTACTACCTTCGTCTCATTTTAATTATTGAAGTACTTGTTTTGGTCAGAAGTGTTTTGTAAGGGAAAAAAACAGATAAAGAATTTTTTGATAAGCATTTCCACTTTCGAATTCACTGTCAGTCATTAAGGCATTTTTGTTTCAAAGAAAATTTTGGATAGAGCAGTTGCTGGCTAAATTTTATCTGTTCATCTTTTTTACTTTGAAGCAAAAGGATTTAGAGCTTAAACTTCATTTTAATTTTTGTTTTGGTTAATGTTATGAAACAGCGTTTAGAAGTCGTTCAAAAGTTTTCTTATTGGGAGGATGCATAATAATTTTTTTTGGATATTTATGAAAATCTATTTTTTCACCTTGAGAGGAAAAAGAATTCCCTACTGCTTTTTAACTTTTTCTCTTCTTCCAGCTTTTTGTTCTACCGGTCAAATGCCAAATTTTTTAAGTTCACCTCTCTCACCGGCCATTTAAGAAGCTTCATCTAGTTAGCGAAGGGTCCTTTGGACTGTTCGATGCTGGGTGTTCATTACTAATTTAGCTTTTGAAAAGTCGAATTTTTACTGGAGATTTGATTCTTTTACATATTGTCGGGAATTTTAATTGGAGAGAAACTAGCTATTCAGAGTTACGCTCGCTTGCCGCCCACAGGTAATTGAGCCGAAGTAAATGAGTGTCAGTGACTGTATGGTACAGCCTAGAGGATCATAGAACACTAAGATGCGGAGAATGAAGAATTTTTGATGTTCAGCAGTTTTTTCGCTTCTCACCAGCGTTTCGAAACCGTTGTTATGGTTTGGTTGACTGATCGTTTCTGATTTATTTTTGGCTTTTTTTTTGTAACTGTAGAGGTCAAAAGTGCTGTTTTATAAATTTTTTGATTAGAAAAGAGAAAATAAAAAGGCACAAAAATTGCAATTTCTGATTGATAACGGCGGTAGCTTAAAAAGTGTTTCCCGACATTTATAAACAAGTAAGAGAAAGGGAGCGAGAAGAAAGTTTTTTTTGAACTGGAATTGTGTATTTTATTGTCTTTGCTGACAGGAAACGTAAGAATTGTCGGAATAAATGCCATAATAGTTTGAGAAGAACTATCCGGGAGTGTTGCGTCGAGTTGGTTAGGAGAGGACTAGGGTGGACGAAGGGAGAGAGGAAATTAAGACTCAGAATGATTAGGAGGATTGTCTCAATCAGAAGATGCTTTTTAACCTTGTTAATACAGGTGTTGTTGTATCGGAATTGGAAGTCGTGATATTTGGGTCATTTTGCTTTTTTTCATCTTCGTTTCGCTCATTATTATTGCGGTGGTTTAGTTGGCTCAAAACGGCAAGTGTCACAAAATGTTGGACTTTTTTGTGCCACTAATTTTTCTCAGTTGGAGTTGAGTGGTTTTTTCAAGGGGAGGAGTGTTGATATTGTTCCTTCTAAATTCGTTGGCTGTTTCTTCTACGCTATTGGCCATAATGTAATTTATGCTTCTGCATTAACCAGGAGAGTTGAGACGAAAAGGTGCTTTCGATTTATTTTTTGATGACGGGAAATGAACGACAAACCTTTGACTAGAATTAGTTTAGTTTTTTTCCGAGCAAAATTTTGTTGTTTGAAAGTGTGGAAAAAAGAGATTTATGGTTTCAAAAAACTATACACAGCGATGGCAAAAAGAAATGTCTAATTAGTGGCTTATTCTTTTTTCAAATTTTATAATTTTTTATCTTTAATAGGGTTTTTTTTTGAAACTTTTCTCCTAAAAATTATATGCAGTAGCCAATTATATAATTTTCTACACTGATTTTCGAGACAGTTTTTTTTGTTTATTTTTTGATACTGACTGATACAGTTTTAACTTTTATGGTAATTGTTTACTTTTTTTTGTCTCATTTCATTTTAAGGTTAAAATTCCGATACTTTTCTTGCTTGACCAAAATGTTTGCTTCTGCTGAAGGGAAGTTCATTCTATTCCTTAGCATGAGCCTGAAAAAATTTTTGTTAATATTTTCATTTATGCTTTTATTAGAAAAGTTATACCAAATAATAAAAGAATTTGTTAAAAGATTACCAATACGACTTTTTTGCAATTTTTTGCTAAAACTGCTCTTGATTCTCCAGACACTTCGTCCTCGAGACACAATGAAGAATCCATTTGTTTACGCCAAATGACATCTTACCATTCATCTTTATCGCCATCACGACTCCAGAAAAAAACAAGTTTGTCGGTTCTTTTTTTTCAGTCTTTTTGCTAAGATGTGATTAATGATAGTTGTTGAAAATGGTTTTGTGATGTATTGAACAATGTAATGAGAAGATCAGTTAGGTTAAGCTCGGTGGAGAACCAGCTTCCAAGTGAATGTTTTTTTGGTGTAAGTTTCTTGATGGATTGGAACCGTACGTAATTGCCCATCGAGTGGTAATGGTTGATTTTATAATTTTTTGAAGCGACCTTTGTGACAAAACTAGTTTTACGCAGCCCTATCTCATTTTATTGGTAACTGTCATTGATCATTAGTTCCAAGCTTAAATTTATGAACTTTCCTTCAGAAAATTTAAGGAAAAAATTTGGGGAAAAGCGTCATGAAAATTATGTTCAATATAATTATTTATGTTGGATTCAGACGCAAATGTTTATTTAAGTTCTAAAATTCGATTTGTGATTATTGATGTTTTATTCCCACTTGTTGTACGGTTCGTTTTTTTTTTTTTTTTTTTTTTTTTTTTTTTTGGT